AACCACTGCATGTGCATATGTCCCATATAAAGTACTAGGCACATGCAAAGAATGAACGGAATCGGTCCAAGGGATTCTGAGATATGACTTCGGACGGACACACGAACACACGGAGACCGAATTATAAGTCCCCGTTTTCGGACTTCGTCCGAACGGGGACTAATTAGGTAATTAATATGCACAATTATTTACCCTGAAACTAATCAGGTCTCTGCATAGTCCTAAAGGATCTATGTACCAAGTTTCATTGAAATGCGATGATTAGTACTTGAGATACCCATGGAAAAGCTGAAAATTAACTAATTATGCAAATTAGGTGATTAATATGCACAAATATTTATCCGAAACAATCAATCTCTGCATAGTCCTTGAGTATGTAAGTACCAAGTTTCATTGAAATGTAATGCTCACTACTTATATCAAAAGCTGAAAATTAATTAATTATGCAAATTAGGTAATTATTTGTACTGATATTACCATAAAAACTATCAGGTCTGTGCAGTGTCATATGACATCTATGTACTAAGTTTCATTGAAATGTGATGATTAGTACTTGCGATATCAGTGGAAAAACCGAAAATTGACTAATCATTATGCAAATTAGGTAATTAGTATCCACAGATTATTACCAAATACTAATCAAAACCTAGCATTAGTTCAGAGCAGCTATGTACCAAGTTTCATCAAAATCCGATGAGTGGTTGTTTAGATATCATGGAACCACTAAAAAATAGCTAATTATCATGCAAATTAGGTAATTAATATGCACGGATTTTTACCAAAAACTAATCATATCTGCGCATATGTTCAGAGCATCTATGTACCAAGTTTCATCAAAATCCAATGAGTGGTTCTTTAGATATCAGTGGAACAGTCATAGAACAGCTCAAAATTAGCTAATTATCATGCAAGTTAAGTAATTTACGAGCATGGATTTTTACCAAAACCTAATCAAAACCTAGCATTAGTTCAGAGCATCTATGTACCAAGTTTCATCAAAATCCAATGAGTGGTTGTTTAGATATCAGTGGAACAGTCATGGAACCACTAAAAAATAGCTAATTATCATGCAAATTAGGTAATTAATATGCACGGATTTTTACCAAAAACTAATCAAATCTGTGCATATGTTCAGAGAATCTATGTACCAAGTTTCATCAAAATCCAATGAGTGGTTCTTTAGATATCAGTGGAACAGTCATAGAACAGCTAAAAATGAGCTAATTATCATGCAAATTAGGTAATTAACGAGCATGGATTTTTACCAAAACCTAATCAAATCTGCGCATTGGCCCAGAGCATCTATGCACCAAGTTTCATCAAAAACCGATGTATGGTTCTTGAGATAGCAGTGGAACAGTCGGACACATATACACACACACGCACACGCACACACACACACACACACACACACTAACTGCAAAGACTCCCATTTTGTGCTTCGCACATGGGAGTCAATAATCAGTTCTATTCCAGATCATTTATGTACAAAGTATTATTGAAATGTGGTGATTAGTTCTTGATAACACACACACATACATGTACAATATCATGCACACACAGGGTAACCACAAGGACCTGTTTGTTTCACACACAAGAGAGTTTGTGACTAGTGTTCTACCTTGAATTAATAAATGAATAAATCTTACTTCAACTAAATCTCCTCCTACAATATTCATGCCTCTACAACCCCTGATAGCTTCGAGGGCCTGTATAGTTGTCAATCCACCGATCTCTGGTGTACCTATTATTTAAAGAAAATAAACAATGGCTATTATTAGACATCTAGCAATGAAAATAATTTTTGTTTCATACAAAAAATGTATCTACATTTGTCCCAAGAACATTTATTTTATCGTCTTAGGGTGCTATTAAATCTCAGAATCGCAGATCAGATTTTCTGAGCACTTGCCTGTTGCTTGTGCATATATGAAGTGAATTGTGCAATATTAAGTGGTATACCCAATTTAGAAGGTGGTTTATTGCTATTATATATTATACCAACATCATTCTGAAGGGTGTTAGTCGCCGCTTCGCACATGCGTGGAATATAGGTCTCATATGAACAAAGATGGCGACTTTGAATGTTTTGCAGACCAACGAGTACAAACTGAGACGTTACCAAGTTTTAATTTGATAATTTCTATGGTGATTGGAAGATATCGAAGGGGTCTCCGCAGGTAATTAATGCAAGTCGCGTTCAGGTCAAAACTTAAATGTACTTGTGATTTAATAAGAAGAGTGCATTGGAATGCTGGAAAATCAATGTGCACATGCACAGTACGTCAACCACCACCCTTTAAGTGTAATTCCAAAACATAAAAAAGGAAGCCAGCCTCCAATAATGGCCGTAAGAAATGGGAAAAAAATCAGTATCAGCACATGACATGTTAATTAACACCAAATCAACAGACATGTACATGCTAAGAAATGGGAAAAAAATCAGTATCAGCAGATGACATGTTAATTAACACCAAATCAACAGACATGTACATGCTAAGAAATGGGGGGAAATCAGTATCAGCAGGTGTCATGTTAATTAACACCAAATCAACAGACATGTACATGCTAAGAAATGGGGAACAATCAGTATCTGCAGGTGCATGGGAAAAAATCAGTATCAGCAGATGACATGTTAATTAACACCAAATCAACAGACATGTACATGCTAAGAAATGGAGAAAAATCAGTATCAGCAGATGACATGTTAATTAACACCAAATCAACAGACATGTACATGCTAGGAAATGGGGAAAAATCAGTATCAGCAGGTGACATGTTAATTAAAACCAAATCAACAGACATGTACATGCTAAGAAATGGGAAAAAATCAGTATCAGCAGGTGACATGTTAATAACACAAAATCAACAGACATGTACATGCTAAAAAATGGGGGGAAATCAGTATCAGCAGATGACATGTTAATTAACACCAAATCAACAGACATGTACATGCTAGGAAATGGGGAAAAATCAGTATCAGCAGGTGACATGTTAATTAAAACCAAATCAACAGACATGTACATGCTAAGAAATGGGAAAAAATCAGTATCAGCAGGTGTCATGTTAATTAACACCAAATCAACAGACATGTACATGCTAAGAAATGGGAAAAAATGAGTATCAGCAGATGACATGTTAATAACACAAAATCAACAGACATGTACATGCTAAAAAATGGGGGAAAATCAGTATCAGCAGATGACATGTTAATTAACACCAAATCAACAGACATGTACATGTTAAGAAATGGGGGAAAAATCAGTATCAGCAGATGACATGTTAATTAACACCAAATCAACAGACATGTACATGCTAAGAAATGGGGGAAAATCAGTATCAGCAGATGACATGTTAATTAACACCAAATCAACAGACATGTACATGTTAAGAAATGGGGAAAAAATCAGTATCAGCAGGTGACATGTTAATAACACAAAATCAACAGACATGTACATGCTAAAAAATGGGGAAAATCAGTATCAGCAGATGACATGTTAATTAACACCAAATCAACAGACATGTACATGTTAAGAAATGGGGAAAAAATCAGTATCAGCAGGTGACATGTTAATTAACACCAAATCAACAGAAATGTACATGCTAACGAAATCTATACAATCACAATTATACTCCTTAAGTGATTGTTGAAGCATACATAAATTTGTCTAAGTATTATTCTGCACCCACAAATATGAAATTCACAAAACAACCTTAATGTTACTATAACTGTACATAAATTAACTAACCAGTTCCCGGGGCAAATCCTGGATCTATGGCGTCAATGTCAAAACTAATATACACAGGTCCACTTCCCATTTGCTGACGTACTTCTGCCATTAATGGCACCAGGGACTTATGCCAACAATCTTCAGCTAAAACCACACGAAAACCCTGCAATAAATGAACATACAATTAAAATACTGATATTATTATTTTCGAACCCAATCTGAATCACAAAACATGTGATCTTCGACCATTCAGTTTGAAAAAATTATGTATATTTTTATATGGATAGTAACATGTTATTGGTATAAATATTGGTATATAAGTTTAAGAATATGTTTTGTGGAATCTAATTGTGACAATAATTTCTAGTAATCTCTTTGGAAGTTCCCTCTTTTCATCACCAATTCACAAAATAATACTGTTTATTTATTTACTTTCCTTCAAAAGATTGAGACAAAAATAGCCACATTTTTGGAGTAAAAACAGATTTTTGTCTGTTGGCTGCAAAATTTGGATTCATTTCCAGAAATATTGAAGAATATAAGAAAAAAGTGCAGAAAATTTGGGCGAGAAAGTAATAACCACACAGCTTGCACTAATTTGAAGAATTAATTTAATTAACCTGATCTTTCTGCCACTTGTTTGGGTCACCTTCATACTGACTACCACGCAATCCAATCTGTACCACTCGCTTACAGTCCAATATATTATCATCAAAGCACCTTTTGAAAGGAGTACCATGAGCAATTGGTTCTCCAAGCATTAGGTCAGTGGTATCAGCATGAGCATCAATGTGTACAAGACCCAAAGGACCATGTTTTTCCTGAGGAAGAAGGTGTTAAAATTAAAAAAAAAAACATTATTTTGGAATGTATATGAACATTTATTGAGCAGTCTGAATTTGACTGAAGCTGGTGAATGTTTATGCAAAATATTAAAATTAAAAATAGCAATTATTGGCATTTTAATTTAGTATTATAATTGTATTGTATTTTATTACTAGAATTTTATTGCTGTCAACCATGATGTGAATTATTTTATTTGCAATAAATTTAATATTATCATAATACCATTATATTGGAATGGACTACAAACACCCTACTCTTGAATTGTGAATTGTATTAGAAAATGAACTGGAATATGTTAAATAAGAATTCTTCACTTCTAACAATGCCATTAAAATCACATTGCATTTTGCACGCTTCAATAAATCTATAAAGGTCGTTGTAAAACAGTCGAACTTGGCACCAACAATTCCAATATCATTCATTCCCTCAGTTTTGTTACAGGGAACATGGTGCCGATGATTAAAACATTTTTGCTTGCCATTGTCACATGTGCGACAATCCAATGCAGGAAGAATTACATGTAAGCCAATATATTGATCAGGAAGAGAACTGGGCTTGGGCTGCTTTAGGTTAAATCTAGAAGAAAATTCTTTTGATATTAACAACAATTTGTGTTCCCAATTAGTTCAAAGCATTGGTTCCATGCAACATAAATAATGCATACCAATTATACCGGTACTCATTTTTGTTTAGGCAAAACTCAGATTTTGGTAAAACATTTTGCAGTTTTTATGATTTTTGTTTTGTTTTGGCCCAAATGAACATAAATTCTCATTGCATACAGGTGTTAATAACAATTTTGGTAAAAATAAGGGGGAGAAACTATGTGAGTTTTATTTTGTAAATAATGACTATAAATTTACTTTGGCACTCAAATTTGTTAAAACTCAGATTAACAAATTATTAAACCAAACTAAATAATTAATTAGAAAACTATACCCATCTTTCTCGTTTATTGAATAAATATACTCACAGCCACAGCTTTCATGACAGGGTAAGAGAGAGTATGATCTCCGCCTAATGTTAGTGGTATACAATTATAAGGCAGTACATTGGCACGATAATACTCTGTGATATCCACGCACGCTTTCTTCAAATCATATAAATTGATATTGACGTCACCGATATCTGCAACTTGTAAGCTTTCATACGGTGCAGCGCCTGAATGCAAACTATATTATCATTAGAAAAATTCTTTCACTGAAAAGACCAATTAATTATATATTTTTTAAAGCTCAAACATACTGTTCTTTTCAGACTGGTTTCATGCACTGAAGTGCCTCAGAACTTTTGAGATATTTATATTGTAAACACTATATAGCATATTTGCGATACAGTAGCCCTGCTTTCATAAGATGAAAATATGTAATTGTTAAAATTATTTATTAGTGTCAATCAATATATGCTTGTGCACTTCAAATAGGAAAGACCGAGTAAACATTTATTAGTGAGACTGCGGTTTGAATTTATTATATGATTGAGAATGTGATTTTGATTGGTGAAGTACTTGAACTAAATTTTTAGTCTAAATATTTACTTTAATGTAAATGTCTAGTAAGTTGAAATGTGTGAAAAGTTCTCAGACAACTGGCGATGATATGAAAGGGTGTTTCAGTCAGGTTGAGTATTGTAACAGACACATACTGGTACATGTGTATGTGAACTGGCATACTGGTAGGGAATGAGTATCCAGCAAGAAAAAAAACATTGACCCGCCAAATCCTGAATACAGTCAAGAAATTTATTCATGTTGTAGTTTTGAAAAAGAAGTTTACAATAATTATTTTTTTCGGGAGAACGCTAACACGTTCACGAAATACAAGCTTCATGTCATACAACTGTTGTATCACCGAGAACTCTTGAATGCATTTGTTGTGTATGTTAATTGGGCCAAAGACTGAAAAATCGGATAACCCTAGAAGACTGCCAGAAGATGAATGGCTGTCAAGAAATTTAGTTGCCAGTCTGTGATTTGATAGACCAACACTCACGAAACACACGCAAACATCTAGACCAGAGGTGTATGCATCAACGACCTCTTGGTATTCTCAAAGCAATGTATAGCCCAGTAGCCTTGCAATGCCATCAGAAAAAAATATCCTAAAAGAATAATGTTTCTAATAAACTAGAATTAATTTCCACCTACCTATGTTATTGAAAGCACGGATTAGACAAGACTCAGTACGTATCTGTCTTGGCCCAAATCTGGTTCCTGTACGGTTGGACACACCGATATCAAGCGGTATTCCAAGAAAGCAAACATCCAATCCTATAAGAATAAAACAAATAAATATTAATTAAGCGGGATTTTGAAAGAAGGTTAAGAAGATATAATGTATTGATTATAATGTGTTATAAACTTTTCACCTTGTATGAATATGTTAATAACCCATGCATTCTTTATTAGAGCCTTCAGAGTAAACTTCTCATAAAAGGGATTCACCACAAGCTAGGGTAATATAAAAGCTTAGTGAGAAGATAAACTAAAAACTAGTTAGAAGGCTAGCTGAAGGGTTCTGAGAAAGCTGACTGAAGGCTAGTGAGCAGGCTAGCTGAAGGCTCAGGAGAAAGTTGACTGAAGGCTAGTAAGAAGGCTCGCTGAAGGGTTCTGAGAAAGCTAACTGAAGGCTAGTAAGAAGGCTCGCTGAAGGGTTCTGAGAAAGCTAACTGAAGGCTAGTGAGCAGGCTAGCTGAAGGGTTCTGAGAAAGCTGACTGAAGGCTAGTGAGCAGGCTAGCTGAAGGCTCAGGAGAAAGTTGACTGAAGGCTAGTAAGAAGGCTCGCTGAAGGGTTCTGAGAAAGCTAACTGAAGGCTAGTA